CCAGCCCGGGGCTGCATGGCTCCACCAGAATGTGGGATGCCAGGGTGGGTGCTGGAGGTGGGGGACCTCTCCAGGACCCAGCCGTGGTGCTTCCCCCATGGTGGGGAGCAGCAAACCCAGCAGCTGTCCTGGCACCAGGCTGCACACCCAGCGCCAGTGGTGCCATTGGCGATGGAAAGCCCCAAACACCCTCTGTTGTCAGAGGATGATGCAGGGAGCCCGTGAGCCTGGAGGAAGCATTAGTGGGCTGGAAGATGCCTTGGGAAAAGCAGCACCTAAAGGGTCATAGGGGAGCAGCCGAGCACTGCGGCAGTGGGATGAGGAATATGCAAAAAAGGTCAGAAAAAACGATGGAAAGCTTGGGAAGAAAAATCTGGGGGTAAATGCTATTTAGTTTAAGGATGAGAAAGTCTCTGTGAGGTACAGAATATTCAGCAGAATAAAATTTCACCCCAAGGGCACAGGAGAACCCCACCACAGCCGGACGGCTGCCCCAGGCCCCTGGGATGAGGGCTGCAGCGGTGTGGTGGCTCCTGTCCCAGCTGACCTCATGGACATCGCCTCGTGCCGAGCTGCCCACAGCCCCCACACCGCAGCCAGGAGGGGCCACACGGTTTAAATTTGAGGTCTTTGCTACCTTGACTCTATTCAATCAAAACAAATGGCATCGCTCCCCCAGCCTGCCTATGGGAAGAAGAAACTCCAGCTGGAGGGAAGAATAAAGGGAAATCTTTGGTTTCGAATCATTGCTTGGCTGTTTTGCTCGAGGAGGGACAGCCGTGGTGGCCTGCTGCTGCCCAGGGGCGGACTGGCAAGCCTTGCAGCGGTGGGCAGGATTTCAGCGCAAGGGCCCCATTTCTAAGCGGAGTCCTTTGCACCCACAAACCTGACTCATGGAGGAAACTCAAATTGGTGGAAAGGCATCGATGCCAGGAGACGGACCCACTGGAATCAGGTGTTTGATGTGCATTAACAGCCCCTTTCCTTCAGCTCTTGGCTCCAGTCCTCTCCGGCTTTAAGCACCGACGGATGCCGAGCAGCGGCTGCAATGGCAGAGGTGTGACAGAGCTGAAGCTGTTTCTTTCCAGGGCTGCTTCACCAGTAAAGAGGAGCCACCTCTCGCTGCGTCCCACAACGAGGGACCCTTTAATTGATTGCAAAAAGAGCTAAGTGCACTTAGCACCTCGGTGGATGTGGACTAAGGTGGGTAATAGTGATGGCAGAAGTAGCTGTTTGGGAAGCAATTTAATTAATAAAAATGTAAGAAACAAAAAGGTCAAGCCTTGCCTCTGCTGTGCTGCGTTTAATCTGCACATGTACGCAGGACTTCAGGCTCCTGGTTTTTTGTTTTTTTTTTTAACCTGGCACATTTCCCCAAACACGATAACATGTTTTAACTTTAGTGGATGACATTTTGTAATATGTTTAAGGATCTGTAATATTTTATGCTTGTAGCTTTTTGCGATTGTTGTTCCAATATGGCACCGATGCCGGTATTAAAGTTTAATATGATTAGAAAGCTCAATTTTATAACCACGGGGTTATACTCTTTATCTATTCTAATCTGATTAAAATGCTTCTCTTCAGTAGCTTTCCACAATCGCTTTATAGCAAAACCTGGGAGCAAAGCCACCAGCATTTTGGTTTTTCCCAGGTCGAAAGAAATACCAAATGGGTTCCTTAATTGCATATTTCATTCGTTACCATACAAAGCTGGGTCCAAACTGCAAACCCCGGCTCCATTTGGCTCTAGTGGAGCTGTTCCCTGAGGAAGGGCGGGCTTGTGGAGCCTGTCCAATGCCCAGGCTCACCTCACCCCAAGGCTGGTTCAGTACCTGCCTGCTTTCGGGGCAGAAAAACAGGCGTTTTGGGTCTTGCTGCCTGGTGCCGAGGTTGCTAAGCAATGAAGTCACTACAAGTAGCTAATGTCGCGGCTACCTCTAAACCCCATCACAGCATTAAATTCATCACTGCAATTAAATTCTCTCACTGCCTATGATACCGTCTCCCTTACGTGATGTATCTTGTCCAGCCTAGTTGTAAACTAGTTAATGCAAGAGAACACATCCACCTCTAATTTCCATTGCCATTTAGTGCTCATACACCACAATTTATCCTGAAGGCACAGTACAGAAAATGTGCTGCAGAGAATGCGATAGTCCATTAAGAGGTAAAAGCCTGAAGAAAGGGCTCTGTTTCAGTAAAACTTACCTCCTGTCCTTCAACTTTTCCTCTAAAGATTCCCAACACCCGTATGGAAGAAGAGCTGTAGAAGACCAAGCATAACTCCTGATATAGCAGTGGTTTTGCACCACCATACACTACGCTTTGGGGGTAAAGCAGAGCTGCTAGATGAACGCCTCCCCCCAGCAGAGGTTATTCTGTGCTATGGATCTGTAGCGTTAGGCAAGCCTAACTCTGAGACCAGAGTTAGAGCGCTCCCGATGTGTTCACGTGAGTCCTTGCAGCTGCATCTTAGAAGAAAGGGGTGGTTGTTTTGCAGACCACCTCCCTGCAAGATGCCCGGGACTGCGTCACCACCATGACCGCTGACTCTGGCACAGCCGGAGCTGGCATTGGCCACCACAGCAGGCTGCTGCGGGATGCAAAGCGGGCTCGATGCCACTGCCTCTTCCCTCTAAACGCAAGCCCTGGTCTCCACAGCTGGTTGCTGCAGCTAAGGCAGGGTAGGAAAGGTCCAGGAGGGGAGTTGAGGTGTTTAAGGTACCTACTACTACTTGGGAAGGAGGGTGAAGAGGGCAGCCCCTCCTAAATGCCGTATTTGCCCCTCAGAGTCGCAGAAGAGGCTCTCCCCTTCCATCTCTTACCCAATTCCTCCCCCCTGCTGTGACAGGAGCGGTTGGCTCTCATTCCACCTTTGGCAAAACAACCTTGGCTTTCCCCACTGAGGAGCATGCTGTTTCTGCTTGGCTGTGCTTGCAACCCCCAGATTCCTCCAGCCAGCCTCTACCAGCACAGTGTAACAACAAAACCAACTCCCAAACACATTCCTTCTCCTTCTAACACAGCTGCAGGCGCAGTGTATGCCACAGCTCAGGCCGAGCAGGCTCCGCACCTTTGGCTGGACTCTCAGACCGCTTTGACTTCTGAGGTGTCTGAAGTTTTCCGCGTCACTCTACAGAAGGGAGCTCATCACCATCATATTGATTGCAATGCATCACTGACATGGGCGTTGCATCCATATTGCGCCGCTAATATTCAGGGGACCCACCCATGCGATACGGCAATAAACAGAAGGACAACATCAACATTTAGCTAGAATTAAGCTTTCTTACCCATATAACATTTGAATTGTCCCAGAAGCATAAAGCCTAAGGCTTTCTCCATCCTCTGGGCAATAAGTAATCTAAGAATTGTTCTTTATTAGCTGGACAGATTTATGTCAGGTATTAGGAGGCCATTGCAAATAATTTTCTCTCTCTCCTTTTTCTATGTGTCTGGGGAGATCCACTTTTTAGGCTTGCCTAGAAGTTGCCTGAGACAACTGGGATGAGGATGTTCTCTGACCTTCCTTGGTATCTTCTTGGGCCATGTGGCATCAGACACGTGTAGCCTTAACTCCGTGTTTGCCATCACTGCTGCCCTGCCTGGCATACTCATTCTTTTAACTCATCAGGATCGCCTACCTTACTTCATTAACAAATTTTGATGATCCATTAAAATTGCCTCAGAAGTAAATTGTCAAGTCTCTTAACTAAAAGGAACTTGCCTTGCTTCTGATATTATCTGGTTCACACTATGTATCTGAGAACCAGGCTTAGATTTTCATTATACCCATGCCAGATCTGTTAGGGAATCTGCAAATAAATGAATTCTTAATTCTCTTGCAATGTTGAATTTTCCCCTCTGTTATTCCTGACTCTATATAGGAAGTTCAGAGCGGCAAATGAAATATCTTCAGATTTTACTCCATTGGCATGCTGTGAAGCAGAATAAACTGTTTTACATTCTTGGCTGGAGATCCCAAGGGTTGTCTGGGGAAAGTGTTCCTCCCACGAAGCTCCAGCACCAGATGACTACGTCCCAACACCTCACACAACAGCTCCGCGCACCATCAGCTGCAGCAATGAATTCATTAATCTGTCTGTAAGTCAAAACTCTGATGGTCTGGCTCTTACCTTACAAGAACTACAAGAGCTAATAACCTACTGGCAGACGTGGCTGGTTTCTTCTGCGTTTCTGTACATGGGCATGGCTTTGTTTCTAAAGGAACTCATCTATTCATAACCCACAAACTACTGCAAGGAATAAGAATCCAGGTTCTGGGCAACTTCACTGCAAATCATTAAGAAATTGCTTTTAGACTCATTCCAGCTTTGCAGACATGTGAAGATAGAGCATACTTGCCTGCCAGAGATGGAGATGGGAATTGATTACCAGGAAGCTAAAGTTTCAGCTGTAAAACTGATGTTTCCAGCAAGACTGTCTCCTTACATCAAATCTATGCTGTGAAAACATCCTCCAGCTGATCGGTACCAGCTGGCATTGAGGGGAAAAGAGGAAACGCTGCTTGCGGCAAAGTACCATAAGGCACGGACCTTACCTCCGCTTCAGAAATGCTTCTCAGTGCTGGAATTACTGGTTAAACAGCCGGTACGTTACCCTGGCAGGATGAGCATGCCCTCAGACTCTTTTGGTACATTCACTAACTCTAATTTATGATAAATCACAGCAGAAAAAAAAAATAAATCTTTAAACTGAGTCTGCATTGAGCTACCCATGTCTTTTGCAAAGAGTGAGACAATACTTTTGAGTTATTACAATGTGTAGAATGAACTTTTATTTTCATTCATCCTTCATTAATACCATACAATTAGATCGTGGTATCTGGAAAAAAAATAATCTTGAAATAATTTAAACCAGAAGGCACAGAAAACCAAACCCAACTATGCAGCTACAAGAGAAAGGGGAAAAATGATTCAGGAGGGGAAGTAATTCAGAAAGGTTTTATCGCTAGAGATTCTGATCAAAAGCTATAGCACACAGAAACAAAACCGCACAGTTTAAGCCAACCCATGCTTTCATTACATATACATAGATAAAGAAAAATCTAAAAATCTGATTTTTGCAGGGTTTTGAATGAAAAGTGTAATTTTTAAAATAAAAACCACTAAATCTAGTACTTATGTCAAAATATTCCCTAAAGTCTACACTAAGATGGACTTTACAAAAAAAATCTGCATTAAGAGCAAAGCACACAGTTAAACAGCATCTGGGGATGGGAGGAAACTTGTTCTCAAATCAGTTTGAGTATCAAGTAAGTTTGGTGTTTGCTTCAGAAACAAAGATTCTCAGTACAGTAATATACTGCAGTGGACATTCTTTTGTATTTTAATATCATGAAATTAAATTGATAGCATACATTACAGAGAGGAATAAAACCACTTCATTCATATGAGATTTTTTACATTTTTTTTTGCAAAAGAGTAACTTTATTTCTTTTGAAAACAAAGCTACTGGAATTAATGACATGCGATAATATGTCCTGATATTATACCGGCTAAGTTTCAAAATAAAGTTCATGCTTCACAATTGAAATATGCTGTGATTCTCAATACATTCTCTGCTAATTAATAATACAATACAGAGGTCATTCATAAGTCAGTTCAGGCTGGGAACCTGGTTTATAAATGAAGCTCATTTTCAAATACGCAGAACACTGACAACTCACAGGGTTAGCTCCAGGTCAGCACATTTCTTTCTGCGCTCCACCCCTCTTTCCTTAAACAAATGGGTGCTTAGCCTGCAAATATCATGGAAAGGCAAAGTCTAGAAGTTACAGGTTCGTTTGTAAAAATACTAAATACAATCCAAGATAAATAGTATTCCTCTTACTGACAACTTAATAGCAGGTGCTCTCTAAAGGGAAAAAAATAATAATAATATCCTGAAATGCAAGAGAGATCGTTTCAGCATTTGATATCAAGGCATTTGCACATTTGTCAGGAGGTGACAGAATAAGAGTGAACTTTGCAGCTTACTTTGCAGTTGGACTTGAATTCAAAGAGCCTTCCTTCTAGCCTGCCCACCTGTAAACCATAACATATGGTTTCTTAATAGTTTGGTTTTTTCCCGGAAATAATTTTCCCAGTTAGAAAGTACAAATCAAAGTGTTGTTTCCACACATGAACAGAGAGTGCTGACAACTACAATAGAAACGGTAAAAATGATCTTCATAAAAATGTTCATCAAAATTCTCTGACATATTAAAAACATTCATTTGTAAAGTAAAGTCTAATACTGCAAGCCATTCACTCAAAGGCGACCTCGGGCACGTGTATTCTTGCCAGCGTTGCAACAGTAATTACTTCCATATTTCTTGTCATTATAGGATACAAACTCTGTAATATATTAAAGTTTCCTAACAAAGAGTCCAATTATTGCACTTTATAAAAATTCCAGTAATACCAGGCTTTTGTCCTACTTTTCTATGAACACTGATGCCCTGCAAGAAAAATTTGGGGGACCAAGTCTTGAATTTCTGATGATTAAGATGGATTACTTGAATCCGTCTGAAATACTGAATCAAAAATGGAAAGGCTTACGAAATGAAGAGACATACCTTTGGGAACGGATTTTGATACATAGCAGCAGACAGATGTGCCATTGCGGTACCGACACGCATTCTCTTCACAGGGGAGAACGGGCACATGGCTATTAACGTTTATATACCACATATAACTTGAGGACTATGCAGAGAAACCCAAAGAACCAATACGTTCTTCTGCTGACTCTACAAGCCTGATGGGAAAAGCTCAGTGACAGCCATATCGGAGTGGGAGTTCCCTCTGTGAGCTCGTGTACATTTGCATTTGCGGCAGCAATGGATATAGCAAACAGAAATGGCTATTTCAGGATGGGAAGATACATACAGGGAGTCTGAGAGGCCCACAAAAAAGAAAAAAAAAGAAAATACAGCAGTTTTGGCCCTGCTTATAACCAGCTGTATCTACAGGAAAAAAAAGATAGAGGAGATTTTTGTGCCAGCTATCTAGAAGCGATCCACAAATCTAGATGAGGCTTCCAGGCCAGCAAATCACTGTTAAAGTCACTTTGTTCCTCTGCTCCTTCAGCATGGGAACGAGTGCAGAATGGCTCATTCCAACCGTGGATAGTCCGTTTACAGCAACAATCATATCACCACACCTAGAAAGACAAGACGAAAAAAAAAAAAGGAAAAAGATGACTACTGCTCTGCAGTACCTCGTACACACCAACAAACAGCACTTCACCTATCTGGGGTGATAGGTTTCCATCAGGTTGGATGTGGAGCTAAAAAAACCCAAAGGGTTCAATTTTAAGCCTGTTTTACTAGTGAAACCCATCTGGGAAATTCCCAGATCACTGGGATTCAATTCTAATACAAAGATAGCTCTGCGTTAAGAGCTGACCTGAAGGGAAATGTGAGGAAAGAGATTTAGCAAGATCTAACGGAGTCAAGAGAAGAAAATGAGATCGCATGTGCATGAGAGAAGCATTTCTCTTTGTTTGTGTGGATTGTAACACATTTACACCAAACATGCCTTTACCGTAGGAGGTGTAAGTAAAGATACTTACAGTTACTAACCGCATTCCAACAGAGAACCTTGTTTTCAATGGCTTACAATTTTGTCAAATGTAGCCATTTGGCTTGAAGTCTCCCTCAGCAGATGGTTCAACTGAGAAACTGTAGCATCTCTGTCTTTTGAAGCAGGGAGTAGAAATTTGGGAGGGTGCTGTTCACTGGCCTTGAGAAAACTGACCTTGGAGGGTTAAGTTTCAGTTTCTACAAGCTCAAGAGAAACTTTAAAAAAAGCACCTAAGTTCTTCCTATGTTGAGCACACCCCATCTCCAATCATCTCTTCTCTGTGACTTGAGCGTGTTTGGCATCCCCCAAAGCAGTCGAAAATGACTCTGGAGATCAAACAGGACTTTTCCTGAAATTGATCCTCCCAACTATTGGAGGCACCAAAAGGAATGGCAAAGAGATGGGCTCCTGAGCAATCCTGGTGCCCTCCACTGGGGCAGAGCAGAGGAAGAAGAGGCACCGTGACCAGCACCAGCCAAATGTGCACTCCAAAGCGGTTTTCTGCCTGAAGCAAGGTACCTCATCAACCAAACCAAAATGCTACAGTTCACTGAGTGAGGTCTCACTCTCCCAGTCTTTTCACCTTCAATAAAATCACACCAGACAGATAATGTAGGCAGAAAACTGTCTTAACTATTCAACTGTGAAGTTATTTTCTCCCTTCCTTTCTAGCCTAACAAAACATTTGGATAATTTAAACAAAACAGAACAGCTTCAAAAAGACCTGCCCCATGGTTACTCCATAACTCATGGTGCAGGTCCTAAGGAGCCTTCCCTTGTTGATGGCCCATTTTTAAGTCCATATTCTCAAGGAGTCCATATTCTCAAGGAGACAGTACCTTTGAACAGAGGATACTGTATCACAGTATCACACAAGAGCATCTTTTCCATTCCTTACAAGGGGGTAAGTGTGATCACAACCACTCTTCCCCTCTTAGGAATGATGCTTAATTTCCATTTGAAGACTTCTAGTTATTAATTCCCCAATGTGAAATTATTTACTTTGGGCTGAACTGAAATCTTCATTTAATCCAAACTCTTTCACAGTTGGCCAAAAAAAAAATGTAATTTTCTGTTCAGCCAAGCTATTTTTTCATTTATTTGTTTAGTCATTGAACTGAAAAATCAATTACTGGCAAGGCTCTAGGCATAAGTACATTTTTTTCTTACATTGCTTTGTAAGTAGATCTATATGTAAAAATCATGCCATAGAACTTCAAGTTGCATATTCTTTACTTCCACCTTCACAAAAACTCAGTTTATGAACAAGAGAACCTTTAACAGGAATTGTAAGTCCTAGTTCTGAACTAATCCTCAATGGGACTAAGATGCATATATGGATACTAGACCTGGGGCTTGCATCCAAACATAATGTGTAAGTAGAATCACGTAATCTTTAAGGTCAGAAGGGACCTCAGGAGGTCTCCAGTCCCAGCTCCTGCTCAAAGCAAGGTCAGCTGTGAGATCTGACCAGGTCTCTCAGGGCTTTATCCAGTTGCCTCTCAGAAACCCCCAAGGGCAGAGACCGCGCAGCTCGTGCCACGGTCTGACCACCCTCACAGGGAAATAGTTTCTCCTTATAACCAGTTTCAACCTCTTTTGTTCAACTTGGGCCTGTTGTTTATTGTCCTCTCGTTCTGCACCACTGTGAAAAGCCGGGGCTCTGTCTCCTTGATAATGTCCTTGTAGGTACTAGAAGGAGCTGTTAGGTGCCCCTGAAGCTCCCTCCTCGCAGGGCAAGTGCTCCGGCTCCCACCATCTCAGGGCCCTTCACTGAACTTGCCTCATTTACCCATGTCTTCCCTGCCAACTAATGACTCTCAGTGCCCAGGCATGGGGGCTGGGTTCTTCAACAATCTTTTCAGAGATCTTTTTCATCTACTTTCTTGCCTTTCCATCAAAGCAGCAGCACCCATCTTCAGAACCAGAGTTTCCAGCAGTGGCTTCAGAAGGCTATAAAAAGGGATAAAGCAGTTTTCCCCACTTTACAGAAGTTCTAATTTTTTAGCTGTTCTCTAGGAAGACAAAAATGTTACCAAGTAGCCAGTTCTGCACCCACACGTTTTGCAATGTCTCTTGGCCTAAAGAAGAGCTCAACAGGGAGACGGAGACAGCTGGTGGCATCAGCACTGCAGCTGGGGAGGAGGATGGGCAACGGCAGAGGGGTCAGCACAAGCACCACCTCTGACAGACACCCCTTCCCCAGCACAAACACCCCGTCCCTTCCCTGCATCACGCTCATTGGGGAGGCAAAGCACTCCTGGGCTGCGTGACCCTCCCCAGCACAAGATGCTACAGCATATTTCATTAAGTAATTAGTTGCACTGACACATAATAATAAAACCCACTTTTAAATAGTTATTGTTGTTATTATTGTTGTTGTTGTTATTATTCCTGTTATTTTAGCTTACTTTAATCTTCCATCAAAGTACGCAGGAGTTCCAAGAACAATCGTTTTAATGAAGAAAGGCTGGTTCGTGTGGTTCTCCTCGTAGCCACCGACAATGCTGAAGCCCCAGCTCCCCAAATTGCTCCGCCGCAGTACCACATCATGGCAGCTATGCAGGCAGCTGTGGAATGGAAGCACCGGATAGCAAGAGAAAACGCTGTGTATACCACATATAGATATTTTTACAGTAGGCACAACACCTGCTGTCTCATCATTACCACCGTGCTAAGCGTGGAAAAGAAGGGGAGGGATGGCAATTAGACTTCTGTTCCCAAACAGAGTAATTTTGCAGTATTCAAACCGATTACCAAAAAAACCCACAATCTTGAGACAGAAAAGTGTTTTAAAAGAAATAATACAGTGCTAGAATAATTACTTAAACACAGTTAACTCTGCAAACTGACAGTAATAGAATGGCATTTTAGAGATTTCACAGATGGCAAGAATGTGGGTGGAAAATAGATCCCCAATGTGTTTAGTTTGCAAGTCAAAAACGCAATGTGTTTTTCTTCCACCCCCAGCCAGTTTAGGCTTCTTCTACTTTAAGTAAAGATCTAGAAATCCACGCATCATCTTCCCTACCTCTGAACTAATGCATCACCAGTAATGAAAATACAAACAATTAACCATTTTATTACACAGAATGTTAAGCATCCAGATCATGCTTCACTAAGTGTACTGGTGTATGTTACCTTCCCCAGTGAAAATTAATTCTTGCCAATGAAGTAGAGAATAATTTAAAAAAAAAAAAAAAAAAAGAAAAGCAAGCATAGAAATTAACTTTTGGGTAAAAAAAGATGCTAAGTTCTTTACTGAGGTACAACATTCCTGTAAAGAATAGCTGTACAATGCATAGAATAACTTTAGAAGCCATGCATGGGCATCTGTAGTATGTAAGTAATTAAGCACTGCTAAAACATGGAAAGTGAGTACATTTACCAAAACTGAGAGCTGTTGATTGAGATTAGGTAGCTCCTTAATACTTGAATGGAAGAGAAACCAATCGATAGTAAAACTCAGAAAATAAATGAAAAAGTCTGAAGTCTCTGGACAGCCAACACATGGTTCTGTTATCTTTAACTGCGATTCTGCTACCAATATGCCCAGTTCTTGTGCTTTTATGCTTAAACTACAGACCTGAGCCCAGCAACTCTATCAGAGGGAGATGAATTAACCTGCACGGCCTGACTGAAGTTAATAACACTATTCGCTGTAGTGAGAGCTCTTCTTTATATCAAGCAATGCCAGAAGGGGCTTATAGCTGTAGCCACAAGAGAGTGAAAAACATTAAGAGTAAAAATGAAACACAGTGGTGCCCAGCAGACTGCAGATTAGTCAAGGGGAGGGAGCTTGATGCAAATCTTGATGAGATTTTGCATTTGGCAGAGATGATAGTGAATTCTTGAAAAAAATACAGGGGGATTTGTAACTATGGGCTCATACATGTGTGAGATATCTGCATTTTCGTCCTGCCTGACGAACCTAGTGGCTTTCTATGATGGTGTGACAGCATCAGTGGACAAAGGAAAACCAATGGATGTCATCTATCTGGACTTCTGCAAAGCCTTTGACACGGTCCCCCACAACATCCTTCTCTCTAAATTGGAGAGCTATGGATTTGATGGGTGGACTGTTCAGTGGATAAGGAACTGGCTGGATGGTCACATCCAGAGGGTAGTGGTCAACGGCTCGATGTCTGGATGGAGACCGGTGACGAGTGGTGTCCCTCAGGGGTCCGTACTGGGACTGGTGCTGTTTAACGTTTTCATCAATGACTTAGACAGTGAGATCGAGTGCACCCTCAGCAAGTTTGCTGAGTGGTGCAGTTGACACACCAGAAGGACAGGATGTCATCCAGAGAGACCTGGACAGGCTGGAGAGGTGGGCCTGTGTGAACCTCATGAGGTTCAACAAGGCCAAGTGCAAGGTCATGCACCTGG